GAGAGAGAGAGAGAGACGAAACTGCAAAAGGAAACTGATGCGTTGTAATTTTGCGATGTAATTTTCAGTTGACGTAGAGCTATCGTAATTATTTCTAACGAGATTGACATTCGACATTTTAACAAGAAGTTGCTGTACGCATCTTGATAAGGACGCGCCGCTATAATCGAATTTCTATCATAAGAGCGATAGTCATGATGAATGCCACGCGAAGTTACCTTCTGTTCTGAAAGGAGACGAATCTCTGTTTCGGTCAGTAGATTCAATCTTGCAAAACTTGCTTGCGTGCATGCGACATGGGTTACTCGAGCGTAAGTTGTCGATTCGATTTTATTCAATTTTTATTTGTCGAGAGAGAAACACTCGTGGATACTCGTCGGAGACAAGTCGCGTCCCTTGGGAGGGGTAAGATAATAAATTCTTCGTTGAGAGACATATCGGGAAACGTCAACTTCGAACTTTGTAATCTTCGTCCGTCCTTCAAGACGAAACGAATAATTTTTATGTTAAGACAAAAAATTCGACACGAATTCAATGTACGGCCAATTTGTACAATTTCGTATAAGATTCACGTATGAAATAATGTCGAAATCGTATATAAGGTGAATAAAATCAAGAGTATTTTCTATAAAGTTTAGGAGGCATGCTTGCAAGATCACCCTAATAAAAGTCAGGGCAAACACGAAAACGCTTTCTTCCCGTCAGCTTGGAATCTGCCATTGGAATACGAATTTGTTACTTAATAGCAATATCGCAGAAAGAAGACTGCCTAATAAATTGCGACGTAGTGACAAAAATACTATGGCATTCGTTATCTCTTATTTGACTCACCGAGCCGGTGATGACGATATTTCAGAAATATTTACGATCCCATAATTATGGACTCTTTGATATTCGTGAACCTCTGTCGTCATTGCGTTGATCCTCCAAATCATTTTGGGAGCGTGTAAAGAGAATATTAATTCATTCACAATTCAACTTCTGCATATTTATATGAGGAATTCGAACCAGGAATATCAAACAACGATATAAATAACAGATATTCATGAATCGCTAATACGCGGCATATGCCTGTGCATTAATTATATATGTCGATAGCTCGCGGTACCGGGATACTGGGTCAAAAACAAAACGGAATAATATTTGTATTATCTATCTTTAC